TCTGTGGGCCTGAGGTGTTTGAGACGGCCCGAGCGTTGGTTGCGCCTGAAGCAGTCCAGGCAACACCATGGGACACGATCCAAGAGAAGCTCCGCAACCACTACGCACCAAAGCCGTCCAAGATTGCTGCCCGCCATGCGTTCTACCACCGGAACCAGGCAGAGGGGGAGTCAATCAACAACTACACCACCGCCCTGCGACAGGCTGCAATGCACTGTGAGTTCCGAGACTTAGACGATGCCCTGATGGATCGAATCGTCTGCGGGGTCCGGGACATCCATCTGCAACGGCGTCTCCTAGCCAAGCCAGACCTCACGCTACAGAAAGCCATTGAGGAGGCTGTGGCCTCAGAAGCTGCTGAACGCTCCGCCCAGGAGATCCGCAAGTCCAGCAGCCCGCGTCTTGCTAGGGAGCCAGTTCCGGTGCATCATGAAGAGGCCAGCAGTGAGGAGGCATCCTCCAGTGAAGACGATGACGTGCACCAGACAAAGCGGGAGCGCAGGAAGTTCCAACAGAAGTCCAAGGGCCAACCGGAATGTGCTGGCTGCGGAGGCAACCATTCCCGTGCCAAGTGTCGATTCAGAGACGCCATCTGTAGGAAGTGTTCCAGAAGGGGCCACATCGCTAAGGTCTGCCGATCGGCTCCGTCTGACACCCCCCCTTCATCGACTCGCAAGTCCAAGTCTTCACTCCAGTCTGCCAAGGAAAGTTGTTTCGCTCTCACCAACTGCCGCTGCCCGTCTGGAACCACGATTGGCCAAACCGACTCGCCTACGCGACGCAAGCTGAACGTCACGGTGCTCATTGAAGGAGCTCCATGTGACATGGAGATCGACACCGGGTCTGCCCTGTCCATCGTGTCATGGAGCACCATCAAAAGACTGGTACCCAGAGTGTCCAAAAGGCAACTCGACTCTCACCGCGTACACCTGAGAGACTACCAGGGAAACGACATTCCCGTGGTAGGCGTTGGCCGGTTCCGGATCGCCTTCAAGGATTTTTCGGGCCTGCTCCGGTTGGTGGTGGTCGAAGGTCAGCGGCCAAGCCTCCTAGGGCTAGACTGGTTTGATGCCCTCGGCCTGGAAGTCACCGGCATCAACTGCATCTCTAACGCAGAGACTGAGGGTCTGGTCAAAGACTTTGCCGAGGTTTTTGACGGCACCTTGGGCCAATATACAGGTACGCCCATCTCCTTTAGCCTTGATCCACAAGTCGCCCCCATCAAGCTAAAGCCACGCCGGGTTCCCTTTGCTCTCAAGGCTAAGGTGGACGAACAACTGGACAAACTGATCGCCCAAGGAGTTTTGGAGCCGGTTGACCACGCAAAGTGGGAAACCCCCATCGTCACGCCTGTCAAGCCAGATGGGTCGGTGAGAATCTGCGCTGACTACAAGTGCACGATCAACAAGGCACTTCAGCAGCACGCTTATCCGGTTCCTGTTGTCCAACACCTGCTGCATTCCCTGGGTGAGGGTAAGGTCTTCGCTAAGCTGGACCTTGCCCAAGCCTATCAACAACTGCCAGTCGATGATGCCACTGCTGAAGCCCAGACGATCGTCACCCACCGGGGGGCATTCCGTTGCCGCCGGTTGCAGTTCGGGGTGAGTGTGGCTCCTGGCATCTTCCAAAGCCTTATGGAGCGTCTCCTGCAAGGGCTTCCGGGCGTGGTACCATATTTTGATGACGTCTTGGTGTCTGCAGACTCACACCAGCAGCTGTTCGAGCGCCTCCGTGCCGTGCTGACCAGGTTCCAGGAGGCCGGGCTCAAGGTAAAGAGGGAGAAGTGCCAGATCGCCGTTCCACAGGTAGAGTTCCTGGGCTATCTTATCGATGCCTCCGGTCTTCATCCAACCACATCCAAGATCCGCGCTATCCAGCAGGCCCCCACTCCAAAGAACAAAACGGAGTTGCAGGCGTTCCTGGGGCTGCTGAACTTTTATAACATGTTCCTGCCCCACAAAGCCACAGTGGCTGAGCCTCTTCACCGACTCCTTAGCACTAAGACGCCTTGGGCCTGGGGTCATCGGGAGACGGCGGCCTTCAACGCGGTCAAGGCTCTCCTTTCTTCAGACAGTGTGCTGGTACAGTACAGTGAATCCAGGCCGCTGGTCCTTGCCTGCGACGCCTCACCTTTTGGCATCGGTGCTGTCCTTAGTCACCGTTTTCCAGATGGAAGAGAAGCACCGCTCGCCTACTTTTCCAGGACACTATCTCCGACGGAACGGAATTACAGCCAGCTCGACAAGGAGGCATTGGCACTTGTGGCTGGAGTGAAGAGGTTCCATGAATACCTCTATGGCAGGACTTTTGACCTCATCACTGACCACAAGCCACTCCTGGGCCTCCTCGCCGGTGATCGTCCAACTCCACCGGTCCTCTCACCACGCATGCTGCGATGGACTGTTTTCCTGGCTGCCTACCACTACCGGCTCATCCATCGCCCGGGGAAATCGATGGGCCATGCCGACGCCCTCAGCCGTTGCCCTCTTCCAGCATTTGTGGAAGACCCGGCTCCAGCTTCATCGCTCCTTCTGATTGAGGATCTTCCGGCAGCGCCTGTATCGGCTGCCACTGTGGCCTCCGCATCTGCCCAGGATCGCACCATCAGCCGGGTGCTCAACTGGGTGTGGAGGGGGTGGCCACAAGGGCCCTTTGCATCGGAGTTCCAGCCCTTCGCAACCAGACAACATGAACTCTCAGCTCATCGCGGCTGTCTGCTGTGGGGAGACCGCGTCGTGATTCCCCAGGGACTCCGTCAGCGCGTCCTGGAGGCTCTGCACGTTGGCCACCCGGGAATTGTCAAAATGAAGGCGTTGGCTCGGTGTTACGTCTGGTGGCCTAATATGGACGATGCCATCACTGCCTGGGTGTCCGCCTGTCAAGCGTGCCAGGAGTCGAGGCCTGCACCACCGGCAGCTAAGGGACACACCTGGGAGACGCCAAAGACACCCTGGTCGAGGGTGCACATCGATCTGGCTGGCCCCTTTCACGGCCGGACCTTTATGGTAGTGGTGGACGCCTATTCCAAATGGCTGGAGGTCGCCCTGATGCCCTCCACCACTACCGAAGCTGTCATCCGGGTGCTGCGAGGCCTGTTTGCAACGCATGGGTGTCCTGATGTCCTTGTCTCTGACAACGGACCGCAGTTCACGTCAGGCACGTTTGAGCGGTATCTTTTGGGACTGGGCATCCGCCATGCCCTAACGGCACCCTTTCATCCATCCAGCAACGGGCAAGCGGAAAGAATGGTGCGCTCGACAAAAGAGGCACTGGCGCGCCTGGACCGGGGAGACTGGCATGAGCGGGTCGCCGAATACTTGTTCGCGCAACACATCACCCCTCATGCGGCCACAGGGAGGAGTCCTGCTGAACTGCTTATGGGCCGCCGCCTCAGGTCACCGCTCGACCGGCTACACCCAGACTTTGCCGTGGCTGAACCCCCAGGCTGTGCCAACGCACCACGGTCATTCGTCCCGGGAAACCAGGTCTTTGCCCGGAACTATGTGGGGGACATACCTTGGGTGCCAGCCACAGTAGTGGGAGTCATTGGACCTCGCTCGTACCAGGTGGCACTCGAAGACGGACGCTTGTGGCGACGGCACATAGACCAGCTTAGGCGCAGGGTTGGGGACTTGGACACTACCGAGGTGCCCCCAACTGCGCTTGCGGCTCCAGAAGAGACACGTACAGATGGCGAGGCCCCACCTACACCTCCCTCGCAAACTGCCAGCGTGGAGCCGAACCAAGCCGTTTCAGAACAGACTCAGACCACTCCACTTGCGGAGGCTCCACTCACAGCAGCGGATCCAGGGGAGTTGGTTCCAACGCCACCTAGGGTCGCACCACAGCCTCAGCGAGAACTGTGTGGCCCTCCGGACTTGGCTACCAGTCCCCGGCGGTCTGGCAGAGTTTCCAAGCACCCAACTCATTTAAAGGACTATGTTGTTGGACAGGTATCACTGTTGGTCTAAGTATGGGAAATGTAACCGATATGCTTTTGTGCCTAATTGAACCATTACGCGTAGTGCTGTATATAAGGAAACCATTACGATTGTAACTAACGCCTTATCTCGGTGGGGAGGGGTGTTATGTAGTGTAGTTTCACCCTGGGCCAACAGGGGGATACTGTATATAGTTTTCACTCAGGTCTGTAGATAGTTTTCACTCAGGTCCGCGCCAGTTATTTTAGGCGGGAACTCTGGGCTGTTGTGGTTACAATGTTGACAGCCGGCTGCCTATAAATACAGGCCGGCTGAGCTGTTCGCAGTCAGTTCTATTCCAGCTTACCATAATAAAGAGCTACTTGAAGAAATCGCTGTGCCGGCTGCTATGTCAACCCACGACTTAACAGTATCTTCGGCCTCATTGCGTCTCCAGCATTTATATGATTCAGTCTTATACATTTTAGCAAGTCTAAAGGTAAAGGGACCCCTGACCATTAGGTCCAGTCGTGACCAACTCTGGGGTTGCGGCGCTCATCTCGCTTTATTGGCCAAGGGAGCCGGCGTACAGCTTCCGGGTCATGTGGCCAGCATGACTAAGCCGCTTCTGGCGAACCAGAGCAGTGCACGGAAATGCCGTTTACCTTCCTGCCAGAGCAGTACCTATTTATCTACTTGCACTTTGACGTGCTTTCGAACTGCTAGGTGGGCAGGAGCAGGGACCGAGCAACGGGAGCTCACCCCGTTGTGGGGATTTGAAGCACTGACCTTCTGATCGGCAAGCCCTAGGCTCTGTGGTTTAATCCACAGTGCCTGGGAGTTAAATAACATCTGTAAATCATTTTCAGGCAGCGATGCTCCTGAACCCCAGTTGCTGGAATCTACAGGTGGAGAGAGGGGTCTGCCGCTCAAATCCTGCTTTCATAATGGGCATCTGGTTGGCCAGTGTGAGAACAGGATCCTGGGCCAGGTGGGCCATTGGCCTGATCCAGGAACCAGGCTCTTACGTTCCTATGATTCTGTGATTCAAATCCTGTGCTCTGTCCTTCCCTTTTGCAGCTCAGCGAGAGCTATGGCCCCATCTACACCATCCACTTGGGGTCACTGCCTTACGTGGTCTTATGCGGATACCAGGCGGTCAAGGAGGCCTTGGTGGACCAGGCGGATGACTTCAGCGGCCGTGGTGACTTCCCAGTCTTCTATCGCTTCACCAGGGGCAATGGTAAGAAGACGGCCCCCACATAGGCGCCGACTCCATGGGGCCTGAGGGGGCTCGAGCCCCCTCAAAAAATTGGGGGGGGGGCTCAGCCCCCCCAATAATCTCGGGCGCCCTTCCAGCAGAGCGCCGCCGCCGTCCCCCGCCTCCTCCCCACCTGCTCCCTCGCCAGCCAGCCAGCCAGCCGCGCGCCCTAGTCGGAGAGCCCCGGCCGTCCCCCGCGAGATTAGGGAATCCCCGGGGGCGGGGGCTCCTGCCTCGCTGCTTCGCAGCACCACCGCCACTGCCAAGGCACTGCCGGGGGGAATTTCCTTCCTCCTGGCGGTTTCAGCCCCGCGAGAACAGGGGAATCCCGACTGGCCACACCTCCCAGCCAGCCGATTGGCTGGCTGGGGGGCGTGGCTTGCCCTATTTAGGGCCGGAGCCACTTTATTTGCATATTCATGAGCTTATTTATTATTCATGAGCTTTCCCGGGCCCCCCCCCAATATTTTTTATAAGTCCGCGTCCCTGGGCCCCCACCCCAAATGTCAGCTAGCTAAGGAGGTCACTTCAGTGCTATCGGCCAGAGGGGTAGATTTAAAAACAGCAATGGGATAGAGTTAAAAGGGATGTCTAGGACCAAGCTCAGTGCAGGGTCTGCAAGATAGGATCTGGCTATTCCAGTCTCTCCAAAATATCTCTCTCCACCCTCTGCTGAAATGTCTCCAGGGAGGGTCAGCCCCGGACCTCTGCCGCCACCCCAACCCCCCAGGCAACCTCTGTCTGGCTCTCAAACAACTCTTACCAGAAGGATGTGAAAGAGGAGTCAACTCCAGGGTGTTCATCAATGACTGGGGGACACCTGGCTTGTGGAAAGGATCTCAGGGTCTTGGTGGACCACAAGCTGGACATGAGTCCACAGTGTGATGCAGCAACAACAAAAAGCTACTGGTGTTCTAGGCTGCATCAACAGAAGTCTAGTGTCCAGGTCAAGGGAAGTGATAGTATTGCTCTCTTCTGCCTTGGTCAGACCACACCTGGAATGCTGTGTCCACTTTTGGACACTACAATTTAAAGAGGATTTTGACGAGCAGGAATAATAATAATAAAAATAATAATAATTTATTATTTATACCCCGCCCATCTGGCTGAGTTTCCCCAGCCACTCTGGGCGGCTCCCAATCAGTGTTAAAAACAGTACAGCGTTACATATTAAAAACTTCCCTGAACAGGGCTGCCTTAAGATGTCTTCTGAATGTCAGGTAATTATTTATCTCTTTGACATCTGGTGGGAGGGCGTTCCACAGGGCAGGCGCCACTACCGAGAAGGCCCTCTGCCTGGTTCCCTGTAGCCTCACTTCTCGCAATGAGGGAACCGCCAGAAGGCCCTCAGCGCTGGATCTCAGTGTCCGGGGCTGAACGATGGGGGTGGAGACGCTCCTTCAGGTATACAGGACCGAGGCCATAGGAAGGTGTGCAGAGGAGGGCAACTGAGATGGTCAAGGGTCTGGGAACGAAGCCTGATGAGGAACGGTTGAGGGAGCTGGGTAGGATTAGCCTGGAAAAGAGGAGACTGAGAGGAGAGATGATAGCCGTCTTCAAATATCTGAAGGGGTGTCAGATGGAAGAGGGGGCAAGCTTGTTTTCTCCTGCTCTGGAGGGTAGGACTCAAACCCACGGCTTCAAGTTACAGGAATGAAGATTTTGACTAAACACTAGGGGAAACTTTCTGAAAGTAAGAGCTGTTTGACAGTGGAATGGACTCTTAAGAGAGATGGGGGACTCTCCTTCCTTGGAGGTTTTTAAGCAGAAGTTGGATGGCCATCTGCTATGGATGCTTCAGTTGAGATTCCTGTATTGCAGAGGTTTGTCCTAGATGAAGCCTGGAATAATAATAATAATAATAATAATAATAATAATAATTATTATTTGTGCCCCACCCATCTGACTGGGTTTCCCCAGCCACTCTGAGCAGCTTCCAACAAAGATTAAAATACATTAAAATGTGACACATTAAAAGCTTCCCTGAACAGGGCTGCCTTCAGATGTCTTCTAAATGTCAGGTAGTTGTTTATCTCTTTGACATCTGGTGGGAGGCCGTTCCACAGGGCGGGTGCCACCACAGAGAAGGCCCTCTGCCTGGTTCCCTGTAACTTGGCTTCTCGCAGGGAGGGAACTGCCAGAAGGCCCTCAGCACTGGATCTCAGTGCATGAACGATGGGGGTGGAGACGCTCCTTCAGGTATCCTGGGCCGAGGCCTTCCAACGCTATGATTCTACTATTCCAGAGGTTGCTGAACTACATCTCCCAGCAACCCGCACAGCCAAGGGTAAAGGGAGAGAAGGGGAGTTGTAGTTCATCAATTAGCCACCCCTAGCTTTCATGACCTCCCAAGCCACCTCCTCACATTGGCTTCCAGATGGGCTGCCCCTCAGGAAGGTCTTGGGGTGTCCCCTTGGAGCGGAAGGGAGGAAATCAGCTTTGGGCAGGGAGATCAACCACCCAGACCCCCCTCCAAGCTCCCCTCGACCCACAGCTCCCCATGACTCCTACAGGCATCGCCTTCTCCAACGGGGAGAAGTGGAAGGTCCTTCGCCGCTTCGCTCTGCAGACCCTGAAGAACTTTGGAATGGGAACGAGCAGCATTGAAGGCCGGATCCAGGAGGAGGCCCAGTTCCTGGTCCAGGAGTTCAAGAAAACTGGTGGTGAGTCCTCGCCTGGTGGGCGGGAGAGGATTTCGGAAGAGGAGGTGGCGACTAACCAGGACGGCTTTGCTCTGCCTCCTCCACGGTTGGGGATATGGATGCCGGACTAGATGGGCTCCCTTTGGCCTGATGCAACAAGCTCTTCTTCTGTTCTTATGGAACCTCCAGCTCCAGAGGCAGACTATCTTGAGTCCTAGGTTCTATGTGAGAACAGGATGCTGGCCTAGATGGGCTCCCTCTGGCCTGATCCAGCCACCAGGCTCTTCTGGTATTCTTAGGATCACTCTACGGCAAGGGAAGCTACACTTGCCTCCCCTTTCCCCATTTTCCAGAGCAGTGATTTGAGATGCAGGCCAGTGTGGTGTAGTGGTTAAGAGTGGTAGACTCGTAATCTGGTGAACTGGGTTCGCGTCTCCGCTCCTCCACATGCAGCTGCTGGGTGACCTTGGGCCAGTCACACTTCTCTGAAGTCTCTCAGCCCCACTCACCTCACAGAGGGTTTGTTGTGGGGGAGGAAGGGAAAGGAGATTGTGAGCCGCTTTGAGACTCCTTCGGGTAGTGATCCGCTTTATCACTTTATCGCTTTATCAGTGATCCGTGGAGGAGCAGAGACGCGAACCCCGTTCACCAGATTATGAGACTATCGCTCTTAACCACTGCACCACAGTGGCTCTCAGAGACCTGTTCAAAGGGCAGGGCTGGTCCCAGGATTGGTCACACCACATGGCCCAGGGGTGCACTCAGGAGGGAGGGTGGAGCTGTGGGCGCGGGCCTCCTTGCCTGCTCGCCTTGAGGTCCTCCAAGGAAGGAGCCCCTCTGGCCCCCTCAAGGACTCCTCTTCCTCTCTCCGCACAGGGGCTCCCTTCGACCCCATCAACCCCGTTTGCCGGGCCGTCTCCAACGTCATCTGCGCCGTGGTGTTTGGCCAGCGCTACGAATACCAAGACGCCAACTTCCTCACCCTCCTGGACCACCTCAACGAGAACTTCAAGATCATGAGCTCCATCTGGGGGGAGGTGAGGAGGGGCCTGGGAAGAGGGTGGGTCCAAGCATTGGGGCTGCAACTTGCAGAATTGTAGAGTTGGAAGGGACAATAAGAGTCATCTAGTCCAACCCTCTGCAAGCCAGAAATCACAGCTAGGGAATATCCTCTGCTTAAAAACCCCCATGGGACACGCTGTGGGTTAAACCACAGAGCCTAGGACTTGCCGATCAGAAGGTTGGCGGTTTGAATCCCTGCAACAGTGTGAGCTCCCGTTGCTCGGTCCCTGCTCCTGCCAACCTAGCAGTTCAAAAGCACGTCAGATTGAAAGTAGATCAATAGGTACCGCTCCGGCGGGAAGGTAAACAGCGTTTTCGTGCGCTGCTCTGGTTCGCCAGAAGCGGCTTAGTCCTGCTGGCCACATGACCCGGAAGCTGTACACCGGCTCCCTCGGCCAATAAAGCGAGATGAGCGCCACAACCCCAGAGTCGGCCACGACTGGACCTAATGGCCAGGGGTCCCTTTACCTTTACCTTTTAAAAAAACCCATAGTGAACGAATTTGAATCAGGTCCCTCAGGGTCTCTTTTCCCCACCTGACTCCAAAGGAAAATTGATGTTGGGTGAAAATGACTGTCAAGTTACAATGTTCCAACAAATTGCCTCTTTGAGAGTGAGGCAGCTCCCATTGGGGCTATTATTGTTTACCTATATTTATTTATAACATGAAAGGGACACGGGTGGCAGTGTGGGTTAAACCACAGAGCTTAGGGCTTGCCGATCAGAAGGTCGGTGGTTCGAATCCCCACGACGGGGTGAGCTCCCATTGTTCGGTCCCTGCTCCTGCCAACCTAGCAGTTCGAAAGCACAAAGTACAAGTAGATAAATAGGTATCGCTCCGGCGGGAAGGTAAATGGTGTTTCTGTGCGCTGCTCTGGTTCGCCAGAAGCGGCTTAGTCATGCTGGCCACATGACCCGGAAGCTGCACACCGGCTCCCTCGGCCAATAAAGCGAGATGAGCGCCTCAATCCCAGAGTCGGCCACGACTGGACCTAATGGTCAGGGGTCCCTTTACCTTTTTATTTATAACATGACACAATATGATAACAAATGTCACATCAAATAAAAAGTAGGATCATAGCATCATAAAATTGAGAAGCAGGGCATAAATATTATTATTATTATTATTATTATTATTATTATTATTATTATTACCTCTCCTTCTCCCCATTTCCCCATTTCCCCAGCTCTACAACATCTTCCCCAGCCTCATGGACCTCCTGCCGGGGCCCCATCACCAAATCTTCCGCAACTTTGAGAAACTGCGTCAGTTTATCGCAGAGCACATTCGGTGCCACCAAAAGGATCTGGACCCCGACGCCCCGCGGGACTTCATCGACTGCTTCCTCATCCGCATGGAGCAGGTACCACCAAGAAGGGGGGTCCATCTGCCCCCAGGAAACACACAGACACCCCAGCACCCAAAGGCCTTCAGCCTCCATCAGCCATCACCCCTGCTGCTCAATTCGTTTAGGGTAAAACCCCTGCCCTGAGGTCTCAAGTAGGCTATCAGAGCCTTGTCTACTATTCATTTATTTGATTCGTAAAAATTTATGCACACCTTGTTTGGAAAAAGGAACCAGGCAAACTTCCAAGTGGTTTACAAAAAAATAAAAAAATAGAAATATTACCGTATTTTTCCATCTCTAAGGCACCCCCATGTATAGGACACCCCCCCCATTTTGGGAGACTCCGATTTAAGAAAATGGGGGGGGGTCTATCTGTGTATAAGATGCCCCCAAATTTTGGACATTGTTTTTTAGGGAAAAACCTAGACTTATACACGGAAAATATGTTACTTTTAAAAAATCAACAGCAATAGTTTAAGGCATTGTAAAAGTTAAAATAGCAATGGATCGGATTTCTAAACATCTGGGTAAAAGGTAAAGGGTAAAGGGACCCCTGACCATTAGGTCCAGTCGTGGCCGACTCTGGGGTTGCGGCGCTCATCTCGCTTTACTGGCCGAGGGAGCTGGCGTACAGCTTCCGGGTCATGCGGCCAGCACGACTAAGCCGCTTCTGGCAAAACCAGAGCAGCGCATGGAAATGGTGTTTACCTTCCCGCCGGAGCGGTACCTATTTATCTACTTGCACTTTGACGTGCTTTCGAACTGCTAGGTTGGCAGGAGCTAGGACCGAACAATTGGAGCTCACCCCGCCACGGGGATTCGAACCGCCAACCTTCTGATCAGCAAGTCCTAGGCTCTGTGGTTTAACCCACAGCCCCACCTGCATCCCTCTAAACATCTGGGTACGGTTTGCCTAAACAAGTGCAGAGAAGGTGCTTGCCTGGTGTCAATTGGCAGGAAGTTCCAATGTTCAGGTGCTGCAACACTAAAAGACCAATTTCTTGCAGATGCGGAACAGGAGTTACGTGGCGCCCGTAGTCACGCCAGTTCCGCCAATCAAAGCGGTCGAGTGGGCATATAGAATCAGAGAACTGCAGAATTGGAGGGCACCCCAGGGCTGGAATATCACAAGGGAGGGGGGAGCCAAGCTTTCCCCCGCAGGAGAACACAATCCGCAATCCATCCTTGCGCATGCAGCCTTCCCTCTGCTCTCTTTCAGGAGAAGCAAGACCCTCTGAGCTACTTCCACACGGAGACGCTGGTGATGACCACCCACAACCTGTTTTTCGGGGGCACCGAAACCACCAGCACCACCCTGCGCTACAGCTTTCTCATCCTCATGAAGCACCCTGAAGTGGCAGGTGAGGGTCAGGGAGTTGCGACCGCCACATTGCGGGGGGTGCGGGCGGACCGGATGACCATGCTGCTGGGCTGCGTCTGGGCGGCGGCCACCTCGGAGGCAGGAGGTGGGAATAGCGGGGATGTGTGGAGGGGCCCGAGGCCCACCTTGACCTGCGGACCTCCTGCATGGAGCTCCCCGCTGTCCTCTGCCTCCTCCCGGGGCTCTGGCGCTTCCTTCCACTGCCGGCCCCCCTCTGCCGTCTCCCGGGCGGCACGTCCCAGGGCTGGCTCCGGCGTGTCCCGTTGCAGGCATGGCGGCTTTTTGCAGCGGCGCATGTCGGCCGTTGGTCGAGGAGGCAACTCCCGTTGGCTTGTCGTGATCACGTAGACGTGCAAGCTGGGAGGAAGGGAACAGTTGCCGTTGCAGCTCATTGCTTATCTCGCTCACCAACAGGCCCACAGTGTAGCCTCTTGCAGATAGACAGTAATTGTACTGCTCTCCACTTCACGTGTCCAATATGTATCTGGTCAACCCGTGGCCTAGACTGGTTCCCTGCAGTCCAAACTTGTTGTTGTTGTTGTTGTTGTTTAGTCGTTTAGTCGTGTCCGACTCTTCGTGACCCCCTGGACCAGAGCACGCCAGGCACTCCTGTCTTCCACTGCCTCCCGCAGTTTGGTCAAACTCATGCTGGTAGCTTCGAGAACACTGTCCATCCATCTCGTCCTCCGTCGTCCCCTTCTCCTTGTGCCCTCCATCTTTCCCAACATCAGGGTCTTTTCCAGGGAGTCTTCTCTTCTCATGAGGTGGCCAAAGGATTGGAGCCTCAGCTTCAGGATCTGTCCTTCCAGTGAGCACTCAGGGCTGATTTCCTTAAGAATGGATGCGTTTGATCCCCAATGGATGCCCAAACTTATGACAACACTTTGGAGGTCCCAAGTCGCAAGGTGGTTAGACTGGTCTCAACTAGGGCCAGGACCTTTTCAGTACTGGCCCCGACTTGGTGGAATGCTCTATCACAAGAGACTAGGGCCCTGCGGGACTTGACATCTTTCCGCAGGGCCTGCAAGACGGAGCTGTTCCGCCTGGCCTTTGGTTTGGACTCAGCCTCACCCTTATGTTTTCCCTCCCCTTATGGTCTTGATTTATCGGCTACTTTTAAAATGAGGCTGCATTTTAAATTGCATTTTAACCTGTGTTTTAAATTGGTTCCCCACCCCCTATTATGTTTTTACTGTGATTTTATTGGTGTTAGCCGCCCTGAGCCCAGCTCTGGCTGGGGAGGGCGGGGTATAAATAAAATTTATTATTATTATTATTATTATTATTATTATACGATGTTTCAAAAGGAAAGCCGGCAGAAGGCAGGCGACAGGCAGCTGGGCACGTGGGACACCTGCTTGGCATGCAGAAGGTCCCGGCAGCTGCAGTACCTGGCAGCATCTCTGAGGAGGGATGGGGGACCAGGTGCCCTCCTAATGTTGCAGGACTACAGTTCCCAGTGGGCTTAGCGGTCAGGGGCGAAGGGAGTTTCCCGGATTGCTGTGATTGTGAGTTCAAGCACTGGGTTCAAGAACCATCGCCTCCTCCTCCTCCTGTCCATCTCCCTGCAGCTCGAGTCCACCAGGAGATTGACCATGTGATCGGGCCGGGCCGCCCCCCCTGCCTGGCTGACCGCAAGCACATGCCCTACACAGAGGCCGTCCTCTGCGAGATCCAGCGCTACATCAGCATCCTGCCCATGGGGCTCCCTCGCGCCGTCACCCGCGACACCCCCTTCAGGGGCTTCCTGCTGCCCAAGGTGAGAAGAAGAAGAACAACCCCCACCCAGTTTCCTTCACTGCAAAGAGGGCGCACCTGGGAGGCCCTCCTGATGTAATAATAATAATAATAATAATAATAATAATTTATTATTTGTACCCCGCCCATCTGGCTGGGTTTCCCCAGCCACTCTGGGGGGCTTCCAACAAAGATAAAAAATACACTAAAATGTCACATATTAAAAACTTCCCTGAACAGGGCTGCCTTCAGATGTCTTCTGAATGTCAGGTAGTTGTTTATCGCTTTGACATCTGATGGGAGGGCGTTCCACAGGACGGGCGCCACTACCGAGAAGGCCCTCTGCCTGGTTCCCTGTAACTTGGCCTCTCGCAGTGAGGGAACTGCCAGAAGGCCCTCAGCCTGGACCTCAGTGTCCGGGCAGAACGATGGGGGTGGAGACGCTCCTTCAGATATACTGGACCAAGGCCGTTTAGGGCTTTAAAGGTCAGCACCAACACTGTCAACCTGTCCCTTATTTGGCGGAACAGTCTCTTATCCCAGCGCCGTGTCCCGCTGCCGTCCCTTATTGATGATGTCCCTTAAATTTCCCGGGTTTCAAAGGAAGCAGCTCCTCTCCCTCTCTCCCTGCTGGCCAGGGAGGAGGGAGGCTCCAACTGTGTTGCTTGGCTGCGTTGCTCAACCAATAAGAAGTCTAAGAACTAGGTGCGTCTTATGGTCAGGTGCGTCTTATGGGGCAAAAAATACGGTAATTTGGATCTACCCTTTAAGAGGGAAACCCGGTCTGTAAAACAAAAAATTGCCCATGACCTGACTGGAAGCCCCTTCCACCTCCAAAATGTCGAGACTGCTGTCTCTCCAGCGGCTCTCAGCGTTTCCCGTGTCTCTTTTACTCTTCCTTCCGCAATTCTAACAACTCCCGTTCTCTCTCCCTGCCAAATCTCACCGCAGGGCACCAACGTGATTCCTCTCCTGAGCTCAGTGCACTATGACCCAGCCCAGTTCAAGGACCCCACAGCCTTCAACCCAGACAACTTCCTGGATGAAAACGGCGCTTTCAAAAGCAGCGACGCCTTCATGCCTTTCGCCCCAGGTAGGGAAGCGGAAGAGGGAGGGACGGCCGTTCGGAGGAGGTTTGGTACCCAGAAAGGTCCAGGGGTGGGTTGCAAAATTTAAAACAAGGTGTAGTTTTGATTGTTGCTTCCTTAATCAACTGCAAGACAAGGGAGGTGTCACGATGCTCAAGAAATAGAGGCGTCAGTTGGTCTGCTGTGTTTGTGTTACATACCGTATTTTGAAAAAAACTATCGCGCAACATGCAGCTGCTAGAGTCTCTGAGGGAAGTAGGATTTTCGGTATGGTTTACGTACCTGTGATTTTGCTTGCACACTTCTTGGTCTTAAATCCTCCAAGTAAATGAATGACAATCAATGTCGTGTTTGGAGATGTGGTGAGATACCATCTCCTCCTGACTTGCTGAAAGTCTGATGTGCCTCAAGCATGTAGCAGTCGGTGGGAAATGGCTGCTTGTGCTCAGGTGAGGAGAAACCAGAGCTGGGATTCAGAAGCCTCGCTGCCTCTGACCAGGAAAGTTGGGCCTAGCCAACTTGGCTGGCAGCCATCGAGAGCCCTCTCCTCCCTTCATGAATTTGCCCAATCCTCTTTTCAAGCCACCCAGGTCAGTGACCATCTGGGTCTCTTGTGGCAGGGAGTTCCATAGTTCAACAATGTGCTGCATGAAGGACTTGCTTGGATCTGTCCTGACCCTCCCAACACTGAACCGCATTGGAGATCCCCGAGTCAGAGTGTTACGAGAGAGGGAGGGAGAAGTTTATCATTCCACTTTCTCAACATTAAGCATAATTTTTATAGAATTGGGGAAGGCCAGTGGACCACATTTGGACACTCCCCATCTGCTTGAACAGCAAATAAATAAATAAATATTACAGTGGTACCTCGGGTTAAGAACTTAATTCGTTCTGGAGGTCCGTTCTCAACCTGAAACTGTTCTTAACCTAAAGCACCACTTTAGCTAATGGGGCCTCCCGCTGCCACCGCACGATTTCTGTTCCCATCCTGAAGCAAAGTTCTTAACCCGAGGTACTACTTCTGGGTTAGCAGAGTCTGTAACCTGAAGCGTCTGTAACCTGAGGTACCACGGTAATAATAATTTATTATTTCTACCCCGCCCATCTGGCTGGGTTTCCCCAGCCACTCTGGGCAGCTTCCAACAAGAGATTAAAAATACATTCAAACTTCAGTCATTAAAAACTTCCCTAAACAAGGCTGCCTTCAGATGTCTTAATCTAAACATCAGATATTTATTTCTTTGACATCTAATGGCAGGGCGTTCCACGGGGCGGGCGCCACCACAGAGAAGACCCTCTGCCTGGTTCCCTGTAGCTTTGCTTCTCGCAGTGAGGGAACCGCCAGAAGGCCCTCGGAGCTGGACCTCAGTGTCTGGGCTGAACGATGGGGGTGGAGACGCTCCTTTGGGTATACTGGGCCTTTGAGGCCATTTAGGGCTTTCAAGGTCAGCACCAACACTTCGAATTGTGCCCAGAAACATACTGGGAGCCAAGGTAGGTCTTTCAGGACCAGTGTTATGTGGTCTCGGCGGCCGCTCTCACTCCCCAGTCTAGCTGCCGCATTCTGGATTAGCTCCATCGGTAGAGCATGAGACTCCTAATCTCAGGGTTGTGGATTTGACCGCCACGTTGGGCAAAGGATTCCTGCCTCGTGGGGGGTTGTGCTAGACCCTCCCAGCTCTGCAATTCCTGGAGTCTGGGATTCTTCACACTCTCCAGCCCACCCTGGACCCCTTTCCGCACTTCTTTCTGGGAATCGGTTGTGCAGATTCTATTTTTTATATATACAATAATTTTTATTAATTTTAACATATAAATTATAATACATACCACAAAACTTCACCACTTATACAATCTTTTTTGGACTTCCATCAGCACCTCTGATAATCCATCGTTTTAACCGCTTCTTATGTATTTTTTTGGGACGCGGGTGGCGCTGTGGGTAAAAGCCTCGGTGCCTAGGGCTTGCCGATCGAAAGGTCGGCAGTTCGAATCCCCGCGGTGGGGTGAGCTCCCGTTGCTCGGTCCCAGCGCCTGCCAACCTAGCAGTTCGAAAGCACATCAAAGTGCAAGTAGATAAATAGGGACCGCTTACTAGTGGGAAGGTAAACGGCGTTTCCGTGTGCGGCTCTGGCTCGCCAGAGCAGCAATGTCACGCTGGCCACGTGACCCGGAAGTGTCTCCGGACAGCGCTGGCCCTCGGCCTCTTGAGTGAGATGGGCGCACAACCCTAGAGTCTGTCAAGACTGGCCCGTACGGGCAGGGGCAGTGGCATAGCGTGGGGGGTGCAGGGGGGGCCGGCCGCACCGGGCGCAACATCTGGGGTTAGGGCAAATTCACAGGTTAGGGGGCGCAAATCCACGGGTTAGGGGGCGTAAATTACTTGCCTTGCCCCGGGTGCTGACAACCCATGCTACGCCACTGGGCAGGGGTACCTTTACCTTTACCTATGCATTTCTTAAATTCATACTGCCTTTAATTATCATAACTAATCTTCCTCCCCTTTATCCATTTTTGCAATAGTTCCAATAATTCTCCTCACAAAACTTCTTGCAAACCTATAAACGTAGTCTGATCATCACAATTACTTTTCAGGTAGTCTGTAAATTTACGCCAGTCTTCTGTGAATTTCTGGTCCCACAGATTTTGAATCCTTCCTGTTAGTTTGTCTAATTCTGCATAGTCCATTAGTTTCATCCTCCATTCTTCCATTGTCGGTAGTTTCCATTTTTGTTTCCATTTTTGTGCCAATAATATTCTTGCTGCCGTTGTTGCATATAAAAACAACTTACCGTATTTTTCGCTCTATAACACGCAGATTTTTTCTCCTGAAAAGGAAGTGGAAATGTCTGTGCGTGTTATGGAGCGAATGTGTGGTCCCTGGAGCCGAAAAATCAGACAAAAATCAAATCAGGCTTCACGATTGCTGAAACGGAACAAAGAGCAGGGAAAGCCCCTCCCCTCCAGGCAAGCAGAGGGGAAAAGAGGAAGTGGCAGCTTTCCTGTATTCTGCCTCAGAGTCTTACTGCCCACCCTGCTCTGTTTCGTTGCTGTGTTTGCTGAAACGGAACAAAGAGCAGGGAAAGCCCCTCCCCTCCAGGCAAGCAGAGTGTCTGCTTTCCTCTCTGTGCTCCGGAGGGAACAATGTTTGTGAAGGGAAGAGAGATTACAGGTTCAGCTTAAAATTCTGATTTGACTTCCTGCTTTTTGTTTTTGGGGACACACAGCATTCAAATATGCTTTCTTCAATTTAAAAGGATGAAATCCTTAAACAGTGTTTTGCCTGCAAATTCATGCGATCTGGAAGATTACAGTGTCTGTACCTCTTAAGGGATGGCAAAGCTTAGGTTTCGCTGCTAAATAGTTCTTAATGCAGTTAAAATGCTTTCTTCTGTCAAGGCAATTAAAAAAAATAAATATCAGGCAGCCGGAAAACATGCAGATGGGAGGGGGAGAGAGAGAGAGAGAGAGAGAGAGAGAGAGAGAGAGAGAGAGAGAGAGAGCTAGCTGGCTTGTGTGGGTGGGTGGGGGGAACTTTTGACTTCCTTTCCTCATGTTATAGCCCTCTCCTGCATTCTTAGCCTTCTGTGTTTTTCCTTCCCTCCCCACTTAAAATGTGGTTACAAAGCATGGATCCACATGGATCCTCAGGATCTTTGCATTGGGTCAGCCAAAATTCACCATCAGAGCACATAGCATGTCCATGGCTACAGCCTGCCCCCCAAAAATCACGCACCCACTGTTGCCTGGGGCTGCAATGGTGCAAAAACGTGGTTACAAAGCATGGATCCACATGGATCCTCAGGATCTTTGCATTGGGTCAGCCAAAATTCACCATCAGAGCACATAGCATGTCCATGGCTACAGCCTGCCCCCCAAAAATCACGCACCCACTGTTGCCTGGGGCTGCAATGGTGCAAAACGTGGTTACAAAGCATGGATCCACAGGGATTCTCAGGATTTTTGCATTGGGTCACCCCAAATTCACCATCAGATCACATGTCTGTGGCCACAGCATGAAGCACAAAAATGATACATCCACTGTTTCATTCAGAATATTTTTTCCCTTGTTTTCCTCCTCTAAAAACGATGTGCGTGTTATGGTCAGGTGCGTGTTATAGAGCGAAAAATACGGTACATTCTTTTCTATTTATATCTCTTCCCAGTATTTTGCGGATTCTAAACCCTGTTCTTTGCTCCTCGCCTGCAGGGAAGCGCATTTGCCTGGGGGCCGGCCTGGCCCGGATGGAGATCTTCCTCTTCCTCACCACTATCCTCCAGCACTTCAGCCTCCACCCCACAGTCCACCCCTGCGGAGATCGACCTGACGCCCCAATGCACCGGCCTGGGCAATGTTCCCCGCCCCTTCGAATTCAGGCTCCTCCCTCGCTAGCTGGAGGCGGGACACACACACACAGATAGCTTCCTTCCCTTGGCACAGGACCAGAGAGAGATGCTCAGCACTGGACCCACAACTAGGCATGGGGCTGCACTGCCCCCCCAACAAACAGCTGGGTCACCACGCATCCCTATTCTGCACCTTGTACAGGTGAAACTCGGAAAATTAGAATATCGTGGAAAAGTTCATTTATTTCAGTAATTCAACTTAAAAGGTGAAACTGATATATGAGCTGATGACATGGCTCCCCAAATCTCTTTTTTGATGACAGCAGCTTTTGCATCTCATTTGGAAACCAAGGCCCCAGAGTCTGGAGGAAGAATGGGGAGGAACACAATGCCAGATGCTTGAAGTCCAGTGTGAAGTTTTCACAGTCTGTGTTGATTTGGGGAGCCATGTCATCAGCTGGTGTTGGTCCACTGTGCTTCATTAAGTCCAGGGTCAACGCAGCCGTCTACCAGGAGATTTTGGAGCACTTCATGCTTCCTTCCGCAGACGAGCTTTATGGGGATGCTGACTTCATTTTCCAGCAGGACTTTGGCACCTGCCCACACTGCCAAAAGTACCAAAACCTGGTTCAATGCCCATGGGATTACTGTGCTTGATTGGCCAGCAAACTCGTCTGACCTGAACCCGATCTGACCTGAACCCCATAGAGAATCTATGGGGCATTGCCAAGAGAAAGATGAGAGACATGAGACCGAGCAATGCAGAAGAGCTGAAGGCTGCTATTGAAGCATCCTGGTCTTCCATAACACCTCAGCAGTGCCACAGGCTGATAGCATCCATGCCACGCCGCATTGAGGCAGTAATTGATGCAAAAGGGGCCCAAACCAAGTACTGAGTACATATGCATGCTTCTACTTCTCAGAGGTCCAATATTGGTATATTTGCAGTCCTTGTTTTGCTGATTTCATTTAATATTCTAATTTTCTGAGATTGTTAATTTGGGGTTGTCATCGGTTGTACGCCATGATCATCACAATTATAACAAATAAAGGCTTGACACATCTCGCTTTGCATGTCATGAGTCTATCTCATATATTAGTTTCACCTTTTAAGTTGAATTACTGAAATAAATGAACTTTTCCACGATATTCTAATTTTCCGAGTTTCACCTGTACATATTATTAACATGCGTGCATGATCCCTCTTGCTTTGCAGAAATTGCTCCAAACTTGGTCTGCCTTTCTCTGCTCTCTATCCTCAACCTTTTTGCAGTTTCCACAGGTGTCGCTCAGATGCTTTAAAACAGCCCGTTCCCAAATATTTTTGGTCCACCCGCACCCCGGCTCCGTAAACTCATCCCCACTGCCCACTGCCCTATTAAAAACATTGTTCGGACTAGCTGCTCTCAGCACAACCTGCCGAGAAACAAATTTCAAGCAGTAACAACAAATCGCACATCTACTCAAAATCCAGTTGGAGGTACCAAGTTTCATGAATTCAGTCGAATGAATGAACTTGGATCCAGGGATACCAGCTTAACTTAGGGTTGGCTTACGTCCGCAATGTCCGGGACATTTCCAGGATTCTGCTCTCTGAAAGTGTTTGGGCGAGAATCAGTTTAATGCCCAGGATTCTCAAAGTCTGACGCTCCTTGGAAGAGTCATCGACACGAGGATTTGCTGCCACCTAGCGCTGATGCAATTAATTGCACTCACTCATGCACAAACCAAAATATTTAATAAAAAATTGCTTCTTTCCCATTAGGGGCACCTTTTTAAACGACTCAAAAGGTTTCTTTATTGTTTAATCTGAGTGAGCCACACAAATTGTGAGGGTGTGAATGGAGCCCTCAATAGTCTTCTCCATGAATCTGTCAAATCCTTTCTTTTTTTAAGCGCGGGTGGCGCTGTGGGTAAAAGCCTCAGCACCTAGGACTTGCCGATCGAAAGGTTGGCGGTTCGAATCCCTGCGGCGGAGTGCGCTCCTGTCGCTTGGTCCCCAGCGCCTGCCAACCTAGCAGTTCGAAAGTACCCCCGGGTGCAAGTAGATAAATAGGGACCGCTTACTAGCGGAAAGGTAAACGGCGTTCCGTGTGCTGCGCTGGCTCGCCAGATGCAGCTTGTCACGCTGGCCACGTGACCCGGAAGTGTCTCCGGACAGCGCTGGCCCCCGGCCTATAGAGTGAGATGAGCGCACAACCCTAGAGTCTGTCAAGACTGGCCCGTACGGGCAGGGGTACCTTTACCTTTACCTTTAAGTTGGTGGCAGGGAGTTCCATAGTTCCTTTCCTCTGTCCTGATATACCTGGTTTGGTGTGGTTTGGGCCCCAAATCAGCCGGATGCCTCCCATTGCCAGTGAGGTCCAAGCAGGTCCCCTTCTTGAGGGCAGCTCTTTGCGGTACCAAATAATCCAGCCCCCAGACCCAGGGACTGTCTCCCTCTGGCCCCCCCGGCCCACTCGCCGGATCCTTTTCAGACCTATCTGAAAGTGATGCTCGCCACCCTCAAAGTCACTTCCCCAAAGCCCAGCTGAGCGATTGCTCCCTGCTGAGGGAAGCGCTCTCTACATGGTCAGGAGAACTCTCCAGTGTTTCGATGTTTGCCAAGTTGTCCTGGGCCAACGTTAAAATGCAGCACTGGGGCTGGCCAAAATTAGGTTTTTCTCTCCTTTCTGCAGCCCAGGATCTCTCGACATGCTGGCCACCTCGTTCCTCACACCTTCCCAAGTCAGCTCAAAGGTGCTTTCCCCGCCTGAACCCTCTTCCTCTACAGACCCTTTTCCTAAACCAAAATCCAGGGATTTATACTGCCCTGGAAGCATCCAGCAATCATTGAGCAGGGCCATTTAGCACAGCAAACTTGCACATGCCATTTTAAATGTGCAGCGGCAATTTTGGAAATGTTTTACAGTGATACCTTGGGTTACATACGCTTCAGGTTACATACGCTTCAGGTTACAGACTCTGCTAACCCAGAAATAGTACCTCGGGTTAAGAACTTTGCTTCAGGGTGAGAACAGAAATCGTGCTCCGGCGGCGTTAGCCCCATTAGCTAAAGTGGTGCTTCAGGTTAAGAACAGTTTCAGGTTAAGAACGGACCTCCGGAACGAATTAAGTACTTAACCCGAGGTACCACTGTATTGCCTTGGCCAGATCCTACCTGGAGTCTTTGCCCAGCTTGAAGGATATTGACAAGCTGGAAGGTGTGCAGAGGAGGGTGACCAAGATGATCAAGGGCAGGGGTAGGCAAACTAAGGCCCAGGGGCCGGATCCGGCCCAATCGCCTTCTAAATCCGGCCCACAGAAGGTCTGGGAATCAGTGTTTTTTTACATGAGTAGAATGTGTCCTTATACAGTGGTACCTCTGGATACGAACGGGATCCGTTCCGGAGCCCCGTTCGCATCCTGAAGCGAACATAACCAGCGTCTGCGCATGCGCAGGTCGCAATTTGCCGCTTCTGTGCATGCGCGTGACATCATTGTGACCGTCTGCGCATGCGCGAGCGGCGAAACCCGGAAGTAACGCATTCTGTTACTTTTGGGTTGCTGCGGAGCGTAACCTGAAAACGCACAACCGGAAGCAACTTCAACCTGAGGTATGACTGTAAGTATTTAAAATGCATCTCTGGGTTATTTGTGGGGCATATGAATTCATTCATTTCCCCCCACCCCAAATACAGTCCGGCCCCCCACAAGGTCTGAGGGACAGTGGACCGGCCCCCTGTTGAAAAAGTTTGCTGACCCCTGATCAAGGGTCTGGAAACTGAGCCTGATGTGGAACGGTTGAAGGAGCTGGATATGTTTAGCCTGGAAAAGAGGAGACAGGAGAGCCATCTTCCAATATCTCAAGGGCTGTCACACAGAAGACAGAGCAAACTTGTTTTCTCCTGCTCTGGAGGGCAGGACTCGAACCCAAACCAATGGTTTCAAATTACGAGAAAGGAGATTCTGACAAAATATCAGGAGGAACTCTTTGACATCAGTAAGAGCTGTTTGACAGTGGAACGGATTCTCTCGGACGGCGGTGGACTCTCCCTCCTTGGAAGTTTTTGAGCAAAGGTTCGGTGTCTGTCCATCTGTCATGGATTGCAGGGGTCAGACTAGATGATCCCTGGGGATCCCTTCCAATTCTGTGATTCTAGAGAAAGAATTTCTCTCTCTCTCTCTCTCTCCTTACCCTAGAACTCACAGGCTTGTTGTTGTGGGAATTAAAACAGGAGGAAGGAGAACTATGTACCTTGCGCAACTGGGAGAAAAGGTTGGATACAAAGGCAGATAATTACCGTATTTTTCACTCTATAGGATGCACTTTCCCCCTCCAAAAATGAAGGGGAAATGTGTGTGCGTCCTATGGAGCGAATGCAGGCTCCTTGGCTTCAGCAATAGCAACGCGAAACCTCCGAAGCGCAGAGGGAGTGCTCCCTCCGCGCTCCGGAGGCTTCACGTTGCTTTCGCTGAAGCCTGGAGAGCGAGAGGCGTCAGTGCGCACCAACCCCTCTCGCTCTCCAGGCTTCAGGGATAGCCGCCTGAAGCCTTCGGAGCGCAGCGTGAGTTCCCGCTGCGTTCTGGAGGCTTCGGGTTCCTTTCACTGAAGCCAGGAGAGTCTTGCTCTCCAGGCTTCAGCAAAAGGAACCCGAAGCCTGAGGAGCGCAGCGGGAACTCGCGCTGCGCTCCGAAGGCTTCAGGGATAGCCGCGTGCAGCCCCTCCTATCGCTAAAGAGGAAGCCATCCCGCTCGCTGTCTTGGCTTGTGCCATAGCCTCGCGCAACCCCTCCGGCAGGGAGAGGTTGCACTCAGCCTGTACGCTGCTCTTTGGGGCTGGTGGGGAAATAAGGTTTTTTTTCTTGATTTCCCCCTCTAAAAACTAGGTGCGCCCTATAGTCCAGTGCGCCCTATGGAGTGAAAAATAGTGTAAATCCACGTTCCATCAAGAAATGGGGGCGCAGGGACTTCAGAGGATGAGATGGGGACAACTCTTTCGATCAGGCTTCCTCAACCTCGGCGCTCCAGGTGCTTTTTGAGACTACAATTCCCATCATCCCTGACCACTGGTCCTACTAGCTAGGGACGATGGGAGTTGTAGTCCCAAAACAGCTGAAGGGCCGAGTTTGGGGGTGCCTACTTTAGACCCACCAGTGTGACAAGCAAGCAGCTCAAATGCCCCCCACCCCTTTCCCAGAGCAGAAGAGGGGGGGGTCCAGGAGCCCTGACTCCCTCTTCTGCCCCCCCCGCCCCTATTGCCCAAAAACAGACAAGCCTGAGGTCATTTCCATGAGCTGATGTTTATTCCGTCTCATCCACGGGGCGGCTCGTTCTCTCGCCACCCCTCTCTTTTTCTGCTCTTCCGCACTCCCTCGTTTCCTGCTCCCTCTCTCTCATTTCGCAGATGGATTAAAATGAGCAGGACCAAGCACTGGCGCTGGGGGCAGGCAGGGGTAGACCGGGAGGGTCCTGCTGGACAAGGGTTTCCCGGCACCTGGGGGTCCCTTCTGAGGCGGCAGAAGGGGAACACAAAAGCCACCCTCTCCCTGGGGGGGGCGGGCTGCACCTACAGATGCCGGGCCCATTCACACACACACACACAAACACACAGCCTTTCTTCTCAAGGTCCAGCTGCCTCTCGACAGCCCCTTTTTTCTTCTTCTTCTTCATCACCATCATCTTCCTCTCCTCCTGGGCTGTGGTCAAAGGCCTTCCAGCTGCAGCCGGCCGGATTTGGGGGGGGCAGCGGACACAGGCGGCAGCAAAGGCAGCGACAGGCAGCTTGAAATGGCCAAAGAGAGCGCAGGGTCTTTGGCGGTCAGGATCCCACGGCGGCAACGCACGGCTGTCCGTCAAGTCGGCCCGTTTTCCTGCGCCCCGCCGGGAGAGGGCTCTGCCCCCTTCTTCTGAGCTTTAGGGGGGAGGAGAACAAAGGTCACCCCAAAGAGGTCAGCTTTTCTGCAAAAGGGACTTTTTAGGGGGGCCTGCCACCCTCACCCAGTTCCAGGAGGCTGTGCAGAGGGGAGGAACTCTGCACGCGCTCAGAGGTCCTTTTCCCGCACCAGCGCCAACGGAGCCCCAAGCGCTAGCAGTCGGTCTGTGGGCCTGCCCTCCGTGCCCCGGCTGCCCCCACCCCACTCCCCGGTGCCGGTGACCCCCAGCACCTAGTTGCCCGTCCACGTACCCAGCTGGTGCCTCCCTTTGGCTTCTGTCCGCTCCTTGGCGTCAAAATACCAGATGGTGATAGCATACCTAGGGGGAAAGCGACAGTTTTGCACGAATCCTGTGCGGTGCCGAGGAGCTGAGCTCTCGCCCGGCTCATGCTCGGCTCGGTGGGGCTTGTGCAGGGCAACCGCCCCCAGTCCCAATGGGAAGAACTGGGGAGGAACTGGGGGGCAGTCCCAGTTCTCCATCTCAGGCACTAAAATGCAATTTGGGAAGCCAGAGCCAAACACACAGAGATTCCTCCACACAGGGACAGGATCTGATTTCTTTCCGCGGGGCCTGTAAGACAGAGTTGTTCCGCCTGGCCTTTGGCTTGGAATCAACTTGATCCCCTTCCCCTGCATTCTGTATTAATTGCAGTTTCCGGGTCACCTTCAAAGGTAGCCCCACGTAGAACACATTGCAGTAGTCCAAGCGGGAGATAACTAGAGCATGCACCACTCTGGAGAGACAGTCTGCAGGCAGGGTCTCATCCTGCGTACCAGATGGAGATGGTAGACAGCCGCCCTGGATACAGAATTAACCTGCGCCTCCCTGGACAGCTGTGAGTCCAAAATGACTCCCAGGCTGCGCACCTGGTCCTTCAGGGGCACAGTTACCCCATTCAGGACCATTTTTGCCAGTTCTACATAGTTCATCAACTACTCTTGCCCACCCCTCCCCGTTACCTGGTGGCGTAGGCTGGCTTCACTTCGTGGGGGTTGCGCCGGTCAGACCAGAAGATGAGCAGCCGGTCAAAGATGGGCTCGATGTTGGCCACCACCGAGCGTCCTTCTGGGTAGATCTGCAGGATCCCACCATGAACCTGGCACAGACGGGGAGACGTCAAAGGGTCCCTTTTGCAGATGGACCCCATGCAGAGTCCTTTGGGCGCGCTGCCCTGGGCAGCGGGAAACTGACCCCCAAGTCATTCATTCGCCTCCTGCCCCTCCCAGGCACCCTTGGGTGGGGACGTGAGAATATTGGGTGCCCCTCTGCAAGAGGACTTCCTGGCTGGGTATTCAGGGTGCTCAAAGAGAGGGTCCTATGGGTGCATCTGGGGCACGGAAGGGAGGGGGCCTGCGTGGCAGGAAGTTGGGGCAATGCTCTAGCCAGGGATTGGGCCCCTGGTTGCTCTGGGGTGCAAGTGGGAGCACCTTGGATGTGGAATAATAACAATATTTTATTATTTCTACCCCGCCCATCTGGCTGGGTTTCCCCAGCCACTCTGGGCAGCTTCCAACAAAATATTAAAATCCATCAAATATTCAAAGCTTCCCTAAACAGGGCTGCCTGGAGATCCAGGTTAGGGGGGTGGCACCCGTGGACACCCCCCCCCACCCAATGCAAGTAGGAATAGAAGAAGAGTCCAGAGGATGGATCAGGCCAGCATCCTCTTTCTCACAGCGGCTGAAAAGATGCGTGGGGAAACTCCCAATCAGGATTCGAACACAAGACCCTTCTCCGCTCCCGGGGTTCCCTGCCTCCAGGGCTGAGCACAACTATCCTGGCTGGGAGGTTGGACCAGAAGCTTCACGGATCAGGCCCACTCTCGGCAGAGACCTTCCCCTTTCATAAGCTCTCCGCTGAGCCTCCGCAACAGAAAGAACCCAGGAGTCCTGGCGGAAAGACCCCACGGCCAAAGGACTTTGGCTGGGACTTTCCGTGTGCACCAGACAGTCGAAGCCCAGTCCCTGCAGTCTGCCGACACTGGGCAGGCACTCTGCATATGCTCAGAGGCACACACTTTCTATCGGTGCTTCTCGGGGCCCCAGGACTGAGCCCTGCAGGCTTCGCCTCCAAACTTTCTTCTTCCGCAAGCCGAGAGCAGGACCCCGGAGTCCTAGGCTGCTGGGGGAACCCAGGCATCCTACTCCGCAGGGTTGGCCCCCGAGCGCAGGAGTTTCGCCTGCTGGAGAGGGCAGAGGAAGGGGCACAGAACGGAGGGCAGGGCATTGGGGAAGAGGAAATGTGTGCCATGCATGAGACCGGGGGGGGCAGAGGGGCAGGTGGCAGGTGCAGAGACCCCCCCTCCCCCACGTACCTTGCTGTCCCAGTGCCGGTTTAGGTAATAGATGCAAGTGACGCAGCGCCCGTCTCCGTGAGGATTGTCCACATGGCGCAGGTACCCCCTGCCGTTGCCGGGGTAACATGCCACCATGGCCTGGAGGGGAGGGGGGAAGGGAGAGGAGGGAGGGGTCAATGCCAGGGGTCGGACCAAACACACCTCCAGGACCGCCTCTTCCCAGCTCCGCCCCCCCTGCCAGGAGCTCCGCCTCCCGGTTCGCCTATGGAGAAGGGAGAGTCGCCTCCAGGCGACCAGGAAGCAAAAACAAGGAGCAAAAGCCCGTATTCTCCCTTTTGGAAAGCGGTCTGCCTGGGGGAGATGGGAAGCTGAATTTGCAAAGCGCCCACCCCCTAGCAACCCCCGCTCTGGGGCCGGGAGGGCAACAGCGGAAGAGGGCAGTCTGTAGCTTTTCCTAGGGGGCAGCATGCATGGGGGGCGAGCAGAAAAGGAAGGGGGAGAGGCAGGCAGGCAGGCAGACGCAAGGAATTTGGGGGTGTCCGATTGTTAAAACAACCCAGCTCAGAGTGCGGAAGCCACTTGGGCAGGAAGACCAAAGCCTTTCATGGAATCCTGGAATGGTCAAGTCAGAAGGGAACCCGGGGATCATCTATACCAACCCTGAGCAAGGCAGGGATTTGCTGGCTTCTTTGTCCACCAGCGGGTGGCGCTGTGGGTTAAACCACAGAGCCTAGGACTTGCCGATCAGAAGGTCGGCGGTTCGAATCCCCGCAACGGGGTGAGCTCCTGTTCATAGAATCATAGAGTTGGAAGAGACCACAAGGGCCATGGAGTCCAACCCCCTGCCAAGCAGGAAACACCATCAGAGCACTCCTGACATATGGTTGTCAAGCCTCTGCTTAAAGACCTCCAAAGACCTAAAGCAGTAAAGAAACTCAATATGGAGGTCGGATGGCCGAAGTATTGGGAAATTTTGGAACAGGATGGAGAGAAGTGGAAATTACAAAGCTATGACAAATTGAAACATAAAGTACAAAACTGGCTTCAATATTATCAAATAATGGAGCTTTTCAAACAGGACAGGAAAATTGGTTTTCAGGTGGAAAAATCAAAACTAGAGATTGAACTGCTAGAACCCAATACTAAGAATTTATCAAGAATGTATAACTTGTTGTTGAAATGGAATACACAGGATGAAACGGTGAAATCAGCTATGATTAAATGGGCACAAGATATTGGTCATGACATTATGTTTGCTGACTGGGAACAGTTATGGACCACCGGTGTTAAGTTTACGGCATGTAATGCCTTAAGAGAAAACATAATGAAAATGATTTACAGGTGGTACATGACCCCAGCCAAGCTTGCAAAAATTTACCATTTGCCCGATAACAAATGTTGGAAATGTAAAGAGACTGAAGGTACCTTCTATCACCTTTGGTGGACATGCCCGAAGATTAAGGCTTTCTGGGAAATGATCTATAATGAAATGAAAAAGGTACTTAAAAGTACCTTCTCTAAAAAACCAGAGGCCTTTCTCTTGGGCATTGTCGGCCAATTGGTGCCAAAGAGGGATAGAACTTTTTTTATGTACGCTACAACAGCAGCAAGAATACTTATCGCAAAGTATTGGAAGACACAAGATTTACCCACTCTGGAAGAATGGCAGATGAAAATGATGGACTATATGTCATTGGCTGAGATGACAGGCAGAATACGTGATCAAGGAAAAGAGACGGCGGAAGAAGAATGGAGAAAATTTAAAAGTTATCTTAAGGACTATTATAAACTTGATGAATGTTAGAATGTTATGGTTTTCAGAAACAAAGGGATACAGTGATATAAGGTCAGATTATGGAGATAACTAAGGACAGAGGTTGGAAAGTAATATTGGGAGTTGCTATAAAACTATGGACATTGGGATGCAGAAAGGGGGGGGTATGGGGGAGTCTGAGAAAAGAGGGTTATGAGAAACAATATGAAATTATGCGTGTTTGTATGGTTTTTTCTCTTTTTGTTTTTGTTTGTTTTTAAGTGTTTGTTTATTTTTAAAATTTTGTAAAACCAATAAAAAACCTTTTATATAAAAAAATAAATAAAAATAAAGACCTCCAAAGAAGGAGACTCCACCACACTCCTTGGCAGCAAATTCCACTGTCGAACAGCTCTTACTGTCAGGAAGTTCTTCCTAATGTTTAGGTGGAATCTTCTTTCTTGTAGTTTGGATCCATTGCTCCGTGTCCGCTTCTCTGGAGCAGCAGAAAACAACCTTTCTCCCTCCTCTATGTGACATCCTTTTATATATTTGAACATGGCTATCATATCACCCCTTAACCTCCTCTTCTCCAGGCTAAACATGCCCAGCTCCCTTAGCCGTTCCTCATAAGGCATCGTTTCCAGGCCTTTGCCCATTTTGGTTGCCCTCCTCTGGACACGTTCCAGTTTGTCAGTGTCCTTCTTGAACTGTGGTGCCCAGAACTGGACACAGTACTCCAGGTGAGGTCTGACCAGAGCAGAATACAGTGGCACTATTACTTCCCTTGATCTAGATGCTATACTCCTATTGATGCAGCCCAGAATTGCATTGGCTATTTTAGCTGCCGCGTCACACTGTTGGCTCATGTCAAGTTTGTGGTCAACCAAGACTCCTAGATCCTTTTCACATGTACTGCTCTCAAGCCAGGTGTCACCCATCTTGTATTTGTGCTTCTCATTTTTTTTTGCCCAAGTGCAATACTTTACATTTCTCCCTGTTAAAATTCATCTTGTTTGTTTTTGCCCAGTTCTCTAATCTGTCAAGGTCATTTTGAAGTGTGATCCTGTCCTCTGGGGTGTTAGCCACCCCTCCCAGTTTGGCTGTTGCTCGGTCCCAGCTCCTGCCAACCTAGCAGTTCGAAAGCACGTCAAAGTGCAAGTAGATAAATAGGTACCGCTCCGGCGGGAAGGTAAATGGTGTTTCCGTGCGCTGCTCTGGTTCGCCAGAAGCGGCTTAGTCATGCTGGCCACATGACCCGGAAGCTGTACGCCGGCTCCCTCAGCCAATAAAGCGAGATGAGCGCCACAACCCCAGAGTCAGCCACGACTGGACCTAATGGTCAGGGGTCCCTTTACCTTTTTGTCCACCTATTCCTTGCCTGCCCTTCTCCCCGACATCCTAACATGCAAGAATTAAAGCACATTATTAAAAGCAGTTTAGGATAGCTTCCCGCTATAAGGTGTGTCCTTAGAAACATGCACCTTGAGTGCCGAGAGACGGAGCAAACAGGTGAGTCTTCAGCAAAAGATGAAAGCAGTGCAAGGAAGGTGGCAGGCACATCTCTGTGGGGAGGGGGTCCCCAAACCAAGGGGCCTCAAGAGAAGGCCCTCTCCTCCCCCTGGGCTGCCACCCATCCACCTGGAGCCCCTACAGCTGGAGGAACCAGCAAGGTGCCCGTCTCAGCACCTAAAAGGGTCTGCGGCAAAGGAAGCAAGACGTTCAGGTTTTGGGGTCCCGAGTCACCCAGGGCTTTAAACACCCGTGAGCAGGTGTTTAAATAATAATAATAATTTATTATGTATACCCCGCCCATCTGGCTGGGCCTCCCCAGCCACTCTGGGCGGCTTCCAACAAAACACTAAAATACAATAACCTATTAAACATTAAAAGCTTCCTAAACAGGGCTGCCTTCAGGTGTCTTCTAAAAGTTTGGTAGTTATTTTTCTCTTTGACATCTGGTGGGAGGGCGTTCCACAGGGCAGGTGCCACTACCGAGAAGGCCCTCTGCCTGGTTCCCTGTAACTTGACCTGCGCCTCCATGGACAGCTGTGAGTCCAGAATGACTCCCAGGCTGCGCACCTGGTCCTTCAGGGGCACAGTTACCCCATTCAGGACCAGGTGGTCCTCCACACCTGCCCGCCCCCTGTCCCCCAAGAACAGTACTTCTGTCTTGTCAGGATTCAACCACAATCACTTAGCCGCCATCCATCCTCCAACCGCCTCAGACACTCACACAGGACCTTCACCGCCTTCACTGGTTCTGATTTAAAAGAGAGGTAGAGCTGGGTATCATCCGCATACTGATGAACACCCAGCCCAAACCCCCTGATGATCTCTCCTAGCGGCTGCATGTAGATGTTGAAAAGCATGGGGGAAGAGGACAGAGGACCTCAAATTAGGTCCGGAAAAGAACCGGCAACCAGAGCAGCTGCTTTAAATCGGGGCTAATATGAGATCTAAAGAGAATCCTAGACAGGAATCTGGCTGCCGTGTTTGGGACCGACCAAAGTTTCCCAGCAGTCTTCAAGGGCAGCCCCATGAGGAGCACATTGCAGTAATCCAGCCTGGAAATTGCCAGAGTGTGGAGTTGAAGTGGCCAAGTCATCTCTGTCCAATAGGGGCTGTAGATGGAGATAAAAGTGTGTGTGTGTCCCCAATACCAAGGCCACCTGAGCCCCCCAGGGACGGGGGGAATCCAGGAGCCCCCCCCAAAGTGCAGGGGAGCACAGCCCCCCAACCTAGACTTGAGAACCTGGGATACAGCACATCTCTGCCTTTTCAGGATTCAGTTGATTATTATTATTATTATTATTATTATTATTATTCATTACATTAGAAAATAATTTTGAAAATAATTAACAACTGGTAATAAAAATAACTGAAAATAATTAAAATAGTTAGCAAGGGTAATTATAGTTAAAAATGATAATTGATTAATAACCTGCCCTTCCTCATAAGGGGGGTAGGTTACTGCATCAAAACACATTAAAAACAATTCAATATACAGTGGTACCTCTGGATAAGAACAGGATCCGTTCCAGAGCCCTGTTTGCATCCTGAAGTAACTGCAACCTGCGTCTGCGCAGGTCGCGATTCCGCGCATGCACATGACGTCATTTTGACCGTCCGCGCATGCGCGAGTGGCGAAACCCGGAAGTAACGCGCTCCGTTACTTCCGGGTCGCTGTGGAGCGCAACCCGAAGGCGCTCAACCTGAAGCACATTTATCCCGAGGTATGACTGTAATTTCTGAAAAATGAGAAAACTCCCCTGCCTTTGAGCACAGCAGAAGCCAAGCCTCCATCCTGAGACTAGTTTGAGGAGGGGTCCCCAAGGCCGCCAGGGGGCTCTTGACCCCAAGAGCTTGCTCCCTCCCCCCACAA